CCTCTCTTTTTAATTTTTTATCATTGTAGCAGATGTCATAAAATAAATGCAGTGAAACATTCAAGCAGCAAGCGTCCTAATTGTTTCCATCTTGATTATAAAAACACATTGAAAGGTAAATCCTCCCAGTGAAATAAATGAAAAAAATAATTAACATTCAAAGTACTCCTTACACCACCTGCTCTTTGCATACTGTGCTGAAATGAAGGTACCTGATGTATAAAGAGTAATGAAAAGAAATTGAGTTTCCTTCTAAAACAAAGAGAAGAGTAGCCTTTAAATTTGAAAGCAGATACTCCAACCAATATCCACGTTTAAGGTTACATAGTAAAATTTGGATTGACAAAATTTTGGTCTTGACAACAAAATGTGTAAGTGAACATATTTACACATCTGTATTATCCCTAACTATCAACCCCCCTCACTTTATAGATTAGATCTGCATCTGTTAGTTCTTTCACTTAATAGTCTTTCTGTAAAAATAGTTATGATTAGGATATTTAGTTCACAGTCCTAATGCAAATTTCACTTGTAGTATACTCAGAGAAAGCAAAATCAATTCACTGGTAAATAAATTGAATTTTTTAAAAGTAGTGGGGCAAAAAGAAATGTGTTTAAAGGAAACTTAAATTTTTATTCTAAGAGAGAGATTACTTCACATAATCCATAGCATGCAATTCTTGGAGCCCAAGCCAGACTTCTTTGGGTCCTCTCTAATGGAGGTTAGCATCAGAGGGAGCCATTTTCTCCATCCACCAGTTTGGGGAGGGGTGTGGACAGAGCAAACACTGTGCCTACAGATGAGCAAGGCATTGTGGGGATAAATCTATTTTCCCAGCACTAGTGAAACATACAGTATATATGTCTGTGTGTATTTATAAAGACTGCATAATTGAGGAGGTCCTGCATGGAAAAGAGGGGCTTCACATTCAGGGTAATTTAGGCTACATTCACCTAGATGCTATATACTGGGGGTCAACAAATTATTTTCTGTAATGGTCCAGATAGGATTTGTGTGTTAATAAAATTTTTTTTTAGACACTGAAATTTGAACTTAATGTAATTTCCGTGTCTCATAAATTATTATTCTTTTTCCCCAACCATTTGAAATTGTGAAAACCACTCTTAGCTCACAAGCTGAATGAAAAGAGGCAGCAGGCCAGGTTTGACCTAGGGATCATAGTTTGCTGAAGCCTGCTAGAAGCCACTGATCATTATTCAAAAATGGTTTCATTTCATCTTTTCCAGCACTCCAAGAAGCATGAGGATAAGTGTATCTCTCACTGAAGAGGAAACTGGAGCTTCAAGAGGCTTAAGCAGCTTACTCATGGCTATAGCTAGTCAGTGTCAAAGCCAGAACTAAAAATCAGATCTTCTGAATCTTAACCTCCTCTGCTTCCCCCGCACCCCCCCCCCCGCACTCACGTTATAAGATTCATATGGAATTGTGAAAAAGAAAAAATGTGTTGCATGTACAGTGATCCTGGTGTCCTCAGGGAATTGTTTCAGGATTCCCACTCCCCAGGATAACAAAATCCACATTCGTAAGTCCCTCAATCAGCCCTCAGTATCTGAGGGTTCCCTGTCCTAAGCTTAAGTACATGATAATCTATATTTATTGCTGGCTTACACTTGACTTTCTGCCTGTCTATATTGATCTTTTTCTAAGAAGTCCTTAGACCATAATATACCTAAAGTCTTCATCAATTTTGGTCAGCCTTAGGTAAATAGATAAAAGATTACTATTCCATGTTATAAATACTGATTGATACAAGAGAAATAATTGGGATGTATACCTTCTATATAACACAGATGAAAAGAAAACACACTCATAAGAAAACATAAATATAAATGATGTGAAATAATAATGACACTATGTTAATATACAGTTAAGGTTTTATGTCAAATATTTCTAAATTCAAATGGAAATTAAAATCTACAGAAAAAATCTTTTAATGCTGGCTTTGTATTTTATGTTAAAACATAAGATCCTTTTTAGAGATCTATAATATAACTTTCCTATTTCATTTATTAACCTAAGTGATGTTATTTTACAGGATTTCATATGTGCTGCAGATCCTGCTGGGAAAACATAAAACTGGACTCATTTAGGAAGAAGCAATGTGGCTATATGAGAAAAGCTGCCATATGTGAAACCTCACTTTATGCCTGTTGAAATTTTTGTATTTCAGGTCTCCTAGGGACATGTCCATTGTGCTATTGTGTAATTTTATCAGCATGAACTTCTGCTGAATATTTTCTCTTCTTCTCAAAATCCATATTTTGGTAGAGCTAACTTCAGAACTTAATGTTGCAACATCTGTGCCCATACACCTGGGAGCCATAGAAGATGTATCCTGAAGATTATCTACATTTTCTAATCTTATAGAATGTTATAAAATGAGAGAAAAAGGTTATACATTTTTCCTGGGTCTGGAATTTTTTTAAAGAAACCTCTTTCTGTCTCCTTAGAAAGATTCTAAAATAAAAAATAACCGATATTTCTCAAGATATAGAGAATATTCCTACAAATGTAACAGAATGCTAATTTGTTCTTGTTTGCAGATAAGAATAAGTCTTTCTACATATGTGCTACTTTTCATTAAGAGGCACTGTGAATATACACAAAACCTGGAGCTATTTTCTCAAAATGTTTTTAAACAAGACTCTTTAATAACTATATAAAACAAAACAAAATTATATTTTTATCTTATTTACTATATTTATTCTGTGAATCTACCAATAAATCAATGATGTTTTTTAAAAATAGAAATTATGAATCATTGTTATACACCTGAAACTAATATAATGGTATAGGTCAATTACATCTAAATAAAACAATAAAAATAAATATTATGGTTGAGTCAGCATTTCTTAAACAGAAGGTTGAGATCTTGACAAAGAAAACTAACTTTATGAATAAGAGAGATACCTCCCACTTCACCTTTCATTAATTATTCTATCTTTATAGACTAAAATATGCACATCGAAACTCCCTGCAGGAGACAGTACTAAAAATGAAATGTGCAGAATAATTTGTAATGAAGGGTAATGTAAAATATATGAAGTTTATATGGATTAAAAATAGGAAGGACAATGAAAGGACTTGAGGAACTCTACATGTGGATTCTCTTGGTTTTTGTCATGAATTTATCAAATTGTGATAAATACTAAACACGTATGGAGTGCTTTCTGTGTGTCAGGTATTGTTGTATTTGCTTTACATGTGTTAACTCAAATTTTCACCACAACTGTATATGACAGGTACTTTCATCATTGCCATTTTACAGATAAAGAAACGGAGGCATGGAAAGATTAAATAACTTGCCCAAAGTCACCCAGCTTGTCAACCAGGGGCAGAACTACCACAGAACACCCTAAATCGACATTGTCCCTCTTTCCTTTGGTAATTTTTCTTATATTTAACAGAACAGCTTTTAACTCTTGTTTTGAAGCAAAGAATAGAATTACAATGGTGATGCTTTTTAAGTTCTTTCAAATTTAAATGGAGATATTCAAGACAGGTCCAAGTTAAGTATCTGTGGTAAAGAAGGGAAGGGACAATGCAGTTAATTCAGGCCCACAGGCATTATTAATCTCCTACAGGGAAAAGGCAAATCCTAACTAAAAAGTTCAACTTCAAAGTTTTTACAAGCAAGTAGCAGAACTTGACCTCACTTCTTTCTCACATGCCATTCCACCATTTGCCAAAGAGGATTGGTCTTCTCACAAGGGAGAGGGGGAAAGTGGGTAGTTAACTCTTCCATAATTAGAGGAGTGCTCAAAGCTGGAAAGACCTGGGGAGAAGGGTAACATGTCTGTGTGTGCTGAACAGAAGCTTTCAAGTGTCTGTCATCATCGTCAGACATAAAACACTCCCAATACACCATTTACTTGACTTGCCAGGAACATGGTGTCATGAGTCTGAACTATCTATAGGATTTGCAATAGAGAAAAGGTTATTAAAAACATAGACATGGAAGAATATTGTGCTCTAAATGCAGCAGAAAAATAAATGTCAAAATCACTAACATGGCTTACTAATTAAACTGTGTCAATGTCCCTGCCAAGAAGAGTTCATAATTCGGAATCTGTAGCTACTATTGACCTGATTTTACAATTGAAATCATGTCTGCCTTTTATTTTGGAAACAAAATTGATCATTGTGTTCTATAAACAAGGCCTGTCAAGTTATTACTTTGCAACTGCTTTGCAAACACGTATTTATTTAACAGCATCATAATTTATGCTACAGTATACCAGAGAAATTATCTCACTTTTTATTTCATATTTTAGTTTTTCTTAAGAGATTGCTTTATATGTGAAAGTGGAATTTCAAGTTCTTCAATAAATACTAAATTTCTTTGATAATAGTTTTTTTAAAAAGATTTCTATCTTTATTCCAATATATTGGCTTCTTGCCCCAAATACTGGTTCAACATTTACAAAGTGTTCATCTCTCCTATGTATTCAGAAATCATTATAATGCTCACTAATTTTTTCAACAGTATTCAATATTATGGTATTCTAATATTAGTAGACAAAGCTTGCAATTTAGAAGGTTCATATAATGTGCATATTTTACATACATTGCTTCCTTAGCCACTACTATATGAAGGATGACAGAATAAAATCAATACAAAAAGTTTAATCTATTTGTTTTATAGCCATCTCAAATTTTCTAAGACTCATCCATCTAGTCCATAATTTCGATTTCTTATAGGCTTTCTCAATTTTTAAATTAAGTTGAATCTAAATGAATAATAAAAACATCTTCATACCATTTGGAAGAACAAAATACAAAGACCAATATCTTCTTTTTCTACTTCTAGATTTTATTCTACTCTCAAAAAAAGTTTAGGATTAAAAAAATGTTTACTCTCCCACTCCCTCGAATCACCTCTTAACAGACTGCAGTTGCATGAGAATAACTCTGATGGTGAATTCTAAGCAGGAATCCAAAGAAACTTCTTGCTGAGTTAATTTAAGAGCAGTCCTACCTTTTTCACCCTCCTTTTCTTCTTGGTCATCTGTGAGTGGAATCACTTCAGGTTGCTCCACAATCGTGGCATCTTCTTGGTTTGATGAAAGCTCTATATATAAGACAGAAGGATACTCAGGGATGCTTTAGTTGAAATCATTGACAAAACACAGTGACTACAGCATAGAAAGTTAAAGTTCTTTTTTATTTTCTCTCCAATTTTTAACAGGCACACAAAGAAGAACACTATTGCTATTCTCTAGAAATGGTTGCCTAAATCATACACACATGCCACTCACACACAAGTATATATAGGGGTCATGGTTCACAGTTTCGTCTCATTCTCTCATAACAATATATTCTGGTTTCAATACCTTCTGTTTCCATGTATGAGCTCTGTGACTCTGCCTCAATTTTTATTTCATTCTTCATTGAATCATTCTCTTGTCCTGTTAAGAACAGTGATTAAAAAAAATAAAAGAAATGTGATAAGCATGACTATAGCTTTATCCCCAGTTTGGAAAAGCAAAATTTTCAGAAACCATGCTTTGATCATACATGAAGAGGTAAAGAACAGTACTGAACCAAAGCAGAGGGTGGAGATATTTTGCAAATCATCAAACTTAGGTCAATTATTTTATAAGAAATATCCAGATAATTAAGCAAAATCTCTTTTTTGAGCTAATTGGTGTAGTCAGTATTCAGCTTATGAATGCACTAAACATTGATGGACACAACCTGGAAATTTTAAATAATTTCTGGGCTACATGGGTTAACTACATTTAGTCTCCCTTTAAGATACAGATAGTTCCTGTATTGATGACTGCTGGAAAATTAAAACACTACTTGCATTTTCATTCTTCTATCAATAGAGCATGAAAAACTTGAGCAATGTGAACATTCACAGATTGGGTCAGCTAACAGCTCAACCATTCTTTTAAGACACTGACTAAATATAGCAAACATCAGGAGAGAATTCAGCCAAATCTTCATTATTCTGAGGTTGATTATTCAGTAATTTTTTTTCTTCCACACCCCCTGGTTTCTCTTCTGCCTTCCCGTAGAGTTTAGAATATTTTGGTGCTCATTAAGAGAGGAAATTGAAATCTGTCCATTTTGCCTCATTTTAATGAAAAATGTTATGCTCAGGAAATCCAGAGAGCTAGTGTTGGTTATAGGCACAAAGGGTGTGCAGAGGAGCTTGGACTCTGCCTGGGAGCATCCCTGTGGTAGATTGCATTATTGATCCAGCATGCCCCTACTTCTTCATATAAGAAGATTCTTTCTACTTCTTTGTCTGTGACCATGTGGCCTGCAGCGGCCCGTGTGGAACAAATGGACATTCCCATCTGTTGATGCCAAGCCTAGTCTTGTGACTAGTTTAGAAAATGGCTCAGCAATGGACATGATGTGTACCACATTTAAGTTGAAACTTCAAGGTCCATTACATGTTTCCTCCAGCTCTCTTGCTCCTAATAGAGTGCGTCCCTTCAGCCTAGACCCAGGAATGAAAACATGTGGAGCAGAACCAAGTAGATAATGACAAACCTTTGTTGTAAGATAATGGGACTTTTAATTATTTAGCTATTTGTTACAACAGCAAACTAACTTATACAATCTCTCATCTTTATAGAGTACTCTTTAATAAAACTAATCTTAAACCACCCACTATGCTACTTTCCCTTATTTTATTCTCTGCTAGAGTGACCAACAATGCAAAAACCCAAAAAGTAAAAGACTGGTTTTTTGTTTACTTTAAAAAAATTAGTTTCAGGTGTACAAAACAACATAGTGATTAGACATTTATATTCCTCAAAAGTGATAA